TCTCTAGCTAGCCTATCGGCAATAGCGCACCCCACAGAGTTCTCTGCTGCACCTTGGTGCGGCGGCACGAGTCCCTCTCGACAGCTATCGCCCTGTACGGACAGCCTTGATAGCTCACATCGATCTGGCCACTAGCGTCCGTGAATGGCGACCACTCTGGGTCGCCACGGGGCATATCTTGCGCTCTAGCAGGGAGAATTCGCATATTATGGTCTCGGCAGGTTAGCAGCGCGGGACGAAATGTCCCCGTAGTCCGGTAGCTCGCGAGTGAACCCAGGCGGGTCAGCTGGCCTGGCCTTTGGAGCTGGTCTTGTAGTAGCTCTCTGCGTGGAGGCACTTTGTTCTGGCTGCGCCACTGGCGGCGCTCTAGCGGATCAGGCGTCTCCTGATCATATCTCTCCAGAGGTCGGTCGGTATCATTCATAGCAGCGTAGTGGGCCACGTGTTAGCAGGCAGACCCTAGTGTTATCACGTCTCGCTAGCAGGTTCTCCAACCTCTCCGGGTCTGGGCAGTAGAAAATGCTCAAGGGATGTGTTTACGTAGCCCCTCGAGCATAAGGTGCCGGAATAAGCTCGCACGCCAGACTCGCTAGCCCTTTAGCAGTTTAGCACAGTAAAAGCGGACTGCGCCATTCCTCACAGAAAACTGATGTCCGCAGCTTCGGCGCGCGTCAGTTCGTCCCGCCTTTACCGTGGACGTGATCATCGTGCTTTTCTTAGCAGCGCATAGAGGACATGCGTATTCATAGACTGTCGTGGCCGTTGGAAGGACTGCACCATTCCTCACAGAAAACTGATGACGCCCGCAGTTTTGTCGCGCGTCAACTTGTCCCGTCTCTATCGTGGACGTGATCTTCGTGCACTTCTTAGCGGGGCACAGAGGACATGTGTATTCATAGACCTTTGTGGTCGTCGGTATGACTGCGCCATTCCTCACAGAAAACCGATGCTCGCAGTGTCACGGTGCGTCAATTTCGTCCATGCTGTTTCTGGATCCACTATGGATGCGTGTGTCCACCCGACCATCTCGAACGCTAGAGGCCATGTAGCTTGTCGCTGCGCCTTGCTCGCGGCTTCTGCTGGGGGCATTGCTTGCTTTCGCCTCTCAAGAAGCAGCAATCTGGCGCTTCGCGGCGCGGATGCACATTTTCGTTCAGGACGTCCTCGCAAAAGTTCGCACCCCAGCAAAACACAACAGCTTCCGGCAGCCTTGTTTAGGCTCTCTGGGCTGCTCGGTTTTCTACGAAAATTGCACGCAGAAGCCAGCTCTGCGTCCCCACTGGCACTTGGAGAGTTCATCCTGTCCGCGAAGCATGTCGCAACGACTGCAGCGTTGCACAGCGAGGCTGGAGTTGCACACGCGCTCCAGAGACGCTTTGTTGTTGCGTGCTGCTGGGACCGCAGACAAGGCCACATTGCAAACATCGACGGCGGCGCCGCGGCTTGTTTTGATGGCAGCACCACGACTGCAGCCCTATGGTAAAGTACCCGCCCCACTCAGAAACTACTCTGTTTACATGCCCATTCTTCACAGGAATGAGCTGGAGCCCTATGGTAAACAGACTACCCGTGCCACTCAGAAACTAGAGTAACTAGAGTCTTTTCAGCCCTTTGATAAAAAGAGCACCCGTGCTACTGAGAAACTTATCTGCGGACACGCCCACTCTTCAGAGGATCGAGCTGGAGCTCTATGGCCCTATGGCAAAAGCTGAGGCCCTTCTGAGAAGCCCATGGTAAGCACGGATAAGCAAGTCTCATAACACTTCTAGCGCTTATGCGCGATCCCGCCTTCCGCAGCAGTCGCTCACGGCATCTCTACAGTCTTCGGCAATCTGCCCCTACGATGTCCAGTGGGGAGCTAAACCTGCTACTGCTCACGCGGCTCCCCATGCGCTAGATTGCCAAGGCTGCTGCTGCTGCTCCTGCTGCTGCTCAAACATCTTCCCGAAGCCAAAATGGCTGAGTCCGTAAGGAGTGCCGAGCTCGACTGGTCGCGTCAACAACAGAAATTGCTTGCCAACTTACCTGTCAAATTCTTCGTCAGTGGCAACTTGGACATGTGTGCTGGTGTCTACCTCTCATTGACAGCAGTAAGACTTTGGTTGCCGACATGTCATGCTGCGCTGCAACAGAGCCTCCTTCTGCACACATTCTCGCTTCGTCATTTGCTTGATCTGTGATGGGGTTCCACCTGTCTCCCCGTGCTTCTTCCGGCCTCTTCAGCCATTTTCATCAAACCAGAAGATCTTTCTCTGGGATTCACGAACTGTTGAAACGGCACAGGAAGAAGTTCACGCTCTCTTCACAAAGAAGGTTCTCCGAGTCCACTTGAAATACACAATCACTCGTCCAGTCCTGCACTATCACACCAATCATGAATTGGGTCTTCAAATGCAAGCCACGAGGTCTTCCCATCGAAGGAAGGTGGTATTTCCATCGTCGCCTGGGAAAGCTGCGAGGTTCGTGCCATGTCGCATGTTGACATCGCTTGCGTGGTGTACGCCTTCTCATAGAGGTCCTCGTCACGCACGTCATTGTAAAAATCATCTGCCTTGTAGTTTTACTGAAGGACCTCTCTTTTCGAGCTCCTTGGCGCGTCCAGGGTACTTTACTTTGGGCGTGTACCCCTGCGAAGATAGAGCCTCGCCTTTGAGAGAACTCCGTTACCACGTTGAAACTGAACCCATGCATACCAAACCTCTCAAAGAGTACAGTTAGGTCGGCAGCAGGGTGTCTTTTTTCTCTATGCACAAGACTCGAGCACCAATTCCGTAAACCTTTGGCGGGACACACCAGAACAACTTGTGGCAACATGTTTGTACATGCAACTCACAGCATCTGTACAGGACTGTTCTTTCGCACCCCGTCCCCGAAGCCTGCCCCGCCGCTCGCTCCACTTAAGCATGCATGTAACTAGCCCTTCCAAACAAGCAGGCAAACATACTCTTGTAGTTCACTTATGCGTTCACTGACTGGCTCCCTCCCGCGCTCCTGCTCATCATCCCTGGCTGCTCTCCTCCTATTCACCATTGTCATCACCGTCATCATCAGCATCATCATGCCCTTGGTTACCGCAAACAGTGATGCTGGTGCACCACTTCGAATGGCGAGGTAGAGCATTCACTGCTGCTGAAGAACGATTGCTAAAACGAGGACGCCGGACGTGAAACTCAAAAACAGCTGCATTCTGGTCAAATCAAGCCATGCAGACGCAAAGCTTCCCTGCCGGGGGCGCTACCGTGCTTGTGCACGACCCCAATGCCCAAAGTTCAGGTGGGGATTAATGGTTTGGAGGTGAGGGTCGACAGCTTAAGGGCTGAAGGCGTCGAGTCGCAGGAATAATGTGACCAACAGTTGGAAACACTCCAAGGCTTTAATCAAGGGAGTCATAATGCTGCTATTCGAACGTTGTCTCCGTGGCAGAAATCTTGCATGGGCGTTTCCAGTACGCCCACTATTCCACTAGTTGTCTGAAGGTTGAGCCCCAGGCAGAATGTGCACATGCCGTGCAAGCATGTGCAAGCATTAGAATCCCAGTCAGGCCCAACTTAACGCAAGCATGTACCCTGGACAAGGCATTGAATGCAAGAAGTATACATAGTACACACAAGCCATGTTTCAGGGCACCTTGGATGCTTAGCCCTGAACCCCTTTTTATCGTACTATCGATGCCTTCAAGTAGGCTAAGGGATGCACTGCGCAGGACTTCCTAACTATGGGAATATTTGGGGCTTCAGACAAGTGAGAGAGTGAGTGCAGCGCATGCAGAACACCAAAGTCAACAAAACAAGACACTAAACCTACGCTCAAGACAGCAACACGCCACTCAGAGGTGGCGACCTCGCCACTCATAGGCGGCGAACAAACAAACAACAACAAACATGTACAAACGCGTCTCTACAGCGTGGATCAATTCAGTCGAAAGTTTAAGCATTTCATGCAAGGACCACAGAAGCCTAACAAATTATGAAAATCAACGCTCAGCAGGTCCCACCCCCTCCTCCCCCTAAGCCTCCGCTCGCGCCGTTCTTTCTGGTGTATATAAGGTTTAATGGACAAAACCCCGAGCAGCTCCCAGTTTCCGATTCAAACCCATCCGCACAGGATGATTCACGGGGTCGGTGGAAGAATGATGAAAGATGATAAGCAATAATGAAGAGGATGAAAATGATAATAAAAAAAGATGAAGATGAAAGAAAATAACTAAAAAATGTGAAAAAACAATGAAAATTATGGAAACATGTTAAACATGCTCGATAAATAATGAAAGTCGTACTAAAAATGCTGAAAAAGTATAGAAAGTAATGGACAAGTGATGACAAACGATAGAAAATGATGAAAAATGATGAACAATGATGAACAATGATGAATGCGCAACAACGATGAAAAATGATGGAAAACGATGAAAATGATGAACATGAGAAAAAGTATGAAAACCATATAAAAATGAAAAGAAAATGAAGCATGCATGGAATTACACAAAAGGCGTGGGGATTGGGGGTGCGCAGCCCCCCCTATTTGGAAACAAAATGATCTGCATAAGTCTCCCTTACTGGTGACATGATACTTCTCGGTTACAGCAAGAGATTTCGGGGCGGGTTCGAAGCCTCCAGGATCGCGGAGGATTGCGGCCTCTAGCCGAGGCTCCGGGCACGATGATGGAATATATGATGATACATGTCGACATTGCTCCTTCCTTCCTTCCTTCCTTCCTTCTCCTGCTTTCCTTTTACTTCCTTCATTTTCCTTCCTTCCTTCTAGAGACAGGATTTTCCTTTTATTTCCCCTCAACATAATATTTTGATGTGTTTTTTTACCATTCCATCCTTACTTCCTGACATAGGATTTCCCTTTGATTTCCTCTGAGCCAGAATATTTTGTTTCATTAATCCTGATTCGATTTTGTTGATCCATATGTGATTTGTTTTTGACTCTTATTTCATTCGTTGATCCACATCCCCCTCATAATCTCCGGCACAAGCACATGCAGAGGAGAGCTC